ATCCCCCTCCCCCTCATATTAAGCCCCCCACCCCAACTAATGTTAAATACTCCCCATCTATTACTATACATCACAATGGGGAGTATTTAAAATTAGGGGGTGGGGTGGTTTTATATTAGTGGGAGGGGATTATAAGGACCCTTAGGAATCACCACGGGATTTTGGGGGTTGCTAGGGGAAATGTTGAGAAAATCCTGACTGAGGTGTGTGTTATTTCCTGGCCTTGGGGATTGGACATGGGGATCCTTGGGAACCGTGAGGAGAGTTTGGAAAGAGCTGAAATAATGCCAGAAAACTACCTACTCATGTGAGCCACTGTCTAAACTCCTAGGATCCCCCTTAATATCCCCTATAGTGGTCCCTTATATAATTCCCTATATAACCCCTTTAAGGAGTTTAGACTACAGCTCATGTGGCTCAAGCATCCTGCGGTGTCACGTCATGTACCCTGCTAAAACGTGTTGGGTACCCAAAGGTTTGGTGACTTTGCCTGTTGGAGGGGCTGCTGTAGGTAGGGAGCAGGGTGTGCGATAGGCTGGCGGCCTCTGTTTTGGGAATGAGTCTCGAAGCGTGTTGGCAGTTTGGTAGGGTAGTTTGCTGCCCTGGCAAAATTTGGCAAACCCTAGTGCCCCTTAGGTAGATAGAATAGGGCTTTGGGTATGTTATAATACGTATCTATGTAAGGGGTTTATGGCCTACACCCAACCCAGGACCCTGCACCCTAGACTCTAAACGCATGCGGAGTAGTCGCTGTGATTCACTCCTCTCCTCAGTATTCCAACACTAAGCATCACTGGAGACGGGTCTCTAAGAACCCCTCTAGAATTCAGGGTTGAGGGTTTAGGGTACGGGAATAAGTTTTCTAGGATGTGTAGAATGGATTCTTTCTACAATAAGGCACGAGAATCTGTAGATTTAGATGGAAGATAGAATAATAAATCAGGGCCGTATAGGGTTACACAGGGACTAATCCCCTCCCATATAATAAGTGTTCTCGTAGTCTATCGGGAAGATTGAAGAGCAAGAGGGTGGGATGTTTTTTCAATGAGGGGAAGGGTACTAAAACGAATTTGAGGCTGCAATAATCTCTCTTCTGTAGCAAGCGCAGGCAGCAAAAGGCGATGCGAGCCTGTAGTGCGGTGAGGGTTTTGGGTTTCTACGACTTGCTCCATTCGGCATGAAACCCATCACCTCCTTGACCCTCTCAAGGTCTCCAACCCAACTAGGATCACCCCATATCTGCGCCAGGGAGATGGGCTGCAGGGGCCTCAAATGAGGTTAAGCGCAGCTGTTGACTTCTAACTTGCGTGGCGCAAGGTGAGCCATTGTTTAAACTCCTAGTATCCCCCTTAATAACCCCTATAACAGTTTCCTACATAATCCCCTATATAACCCCCCTTTAAGGAGTTTAGACTAGGCTCAGGTAGTGTAAGCAATGTTGCTTCAGAGCCCCTCCCCATGAGCCAGTAGCTAAACCAAAGCCTTTACCTCCCCTTCATTCGTGCACGCAGGAAAAAACTCAGAGTAGAATTATAGCACACTTCACATTCATAAGGGGTTTGTGCTCTATAACCCCAACCCCTGCATATTTGCAGGGTCCTAAGTTGGAGGGGTGCCCCAAATCCTCTTATAAAAACGAAACCCCAAACTCTCCTGACCCCTAAACCCTGAAGTTCCATAAAAGTGGCAACTGGGCCTCGTCCGGGGATGTGTACAACGCAAGGTGAGACGAGTGCGAGAGAACTCCCGCTAAAGCTCCTCACCTGAGTACAAAGCAGCGAGGGCAGGGTTTAGGGATCAGGGGTTTTGGGGTTGTGTACGGCTCTATGGGGGTTATATAGAAATAATGGAAAAGAAAACGGGCACTACTCCTTACTGTTGCGGAGTTTAGGGGTTTAGGGTATAGGGTCTACGGTTTAGGTGTTTAGGGGTAAGGCCTTAGGGATAAGAGGATTAGAGGGTTTTGGATTTTGGGGTTTAGTGCAAAAACTATAACAGGCGTTTTCCGCTGAGGCTTTAGGGGCTGGGTAAAGCAATAGTAGCAGAAGAAACGTACAGTAATGGAGAAATGCAGAGGCTGAATGGAGAATGATATGGAAAATCATCTTGAAAAGGGGTTTCTAAGAATTTCAGTTGGGGACTAAATGCTGGGAATAAGGCTTTGGGGTATATCGTGACATCAGAGGTACATGGGCCAGATTTCTCATTATTCAGGCGTCATTTTAGCAGTTAAGAATTTGAGGATTTAGGGTTGATCCCTAAACTCTAGTCCCTATTCTTTTCCATGGTCTCTCGAACCCCCATAATATAAGGCCTACACCCTAATGTTAAGGTCATGAGCATGGCGCAAGCAGGCACGGTTCGTTCTGGAGTCCCAGCACAGTTAGACGGCCATATGATGAAAATCACCGTTCTTGTGCACGCCATATTAGTATCCCCGTTAATAACCCCCAGTATAGGGTTTAGGGTTGAGGGTTTAGGGCCTAAACTCCTAGTATCCTTCTTAACAACCCCGTATATTAGTCCCTGTGTAATCCCCTATATAACCCCTTTCAGGAATTTAGACTATAGCTCATACAATGAAGACCCCTCAATCAAGGGTCTGTTATGTCCCTTACATGAGCTAGAATCTAAACTCCTTAAAGGCGGATTACATAGGGGACTAGGGATACTAGGAGTTTAGACTATGGCTCATATGACCCAATGTAGTCCCCTAGATTTTCTTAAAAAGATCCCCAAACCCAAGCAGTGCAACCCTAGGGGCGCAAGCTTGAGTCCCAGCACCTAACTACCACCAAAGAGGAAGCTTACCCTGCAAAGACAAACAGGCAACAATCACACACAATGTGCCCCAAAACAACTTCTTGGTCAGTTCGAAATTATCTATCTGGATATAGGTTCTTAACTTATGATTCAAGGGCTGGGCTTCTTTTTGGCCCTACCGCGCCGTTCCATTTATTGGGTATCCGGTGTTGGGCTCAGCCCCCACAACAAGGTAAGTTGGGCACCCCAAAGAAGGAACGACATTACAGGGTCTTGGTGAGGTCTGAGGTAGGGTGTAGGGGGTAGAAAGACCCGCTCCCAAACGAGAGACGAAGACCGAGGGAACGGGGATTTCCCTTTTTTGAACGAAAAGGGATGATGCAGTTGCTACTGCAAAATCCTGCACTGCATGACCCTGACTAATGGTGATGTAGGAGTTGTGTTGGCAACAATGCGTGGGCTATCACAGCCCCCTTCCTATTCTTTCACAAAAAGAGCGCTTTCAGAACACAGAACACGAAACCCCGTGTACCTCAAACAAGGGTTTAGACTTTGACACACGTAGTGACCCTGAGGGTCCATAGTACCTAATATTCATATACTTACCCAAAACCTGTACTACAATCAGTATTACAAAAAATCCAAGTACCCAATTATTGGGTACTCGGACCCTCTGGGTAAGTGAAGAGTCCTAGATCCTTAAGCCCTCAATGCACATCTGAGGCTGGCACCTCTTCCTTTGTTGCCCTGGCAATGACAGGTTCTACAGTGCCCGGTTCAAGTACTATGGCATCCATGAGAACGGAATAGTACCGCAGCTTCCATCTTCTTTACAAGTAGTACATTACTGACTACTTTTGGATACTTCCTGAACCTGGAATCAAGTCTTTTGGGAGCTGTGTTCTATGGTTGGGTTAGGTCATTGATGTTTGTACAAACCCTAAACCCTAAACCCTTAACTGGTGTGCTGGAAAACACTGATCTAGTTTGTCAGGCTGAGACTATGCACACAAGACCCTGACGTCCTCAGGTTTCACTTCATGAGGATTAACCCTAAGCCCTAAATCGTATCGGAGGTGACGAAAACCCGCCTACAAAACAACCCCATGCCTCTGCCCGGGTACTAGCATGAAGGAAGGTTTAGGGTTTATGGCTCAGGGTTTAAGGTTTGTTTAGGGTTGGTGGCAACTTCTGTGACGCAGGGAAGCGAGGAGCCTCGTTGTGAAATTCTGTGCAAGCCTGGGTTTGCTGATAATGAGTGGAGAATGATTGGGTGCTGCTAAGTAACCTGAATTAAGTTACTATAAAAAGGAAACCCCATTGTTTACTAAATGCCCACATTCTGGTAACTTGATTTAGGGGACTACATAGGGGACTACTATAGGGGTTATTAAGGGAGATACTAGGAGTTTAGACTATAGCTCACATACACTCATGAGGTCCGTCTCATAATTCCTGTGGATCTACGACTGCCTCAGGCCGTGCTTCACCAACAACCAAGCAAGCCAACATTAACTCAGCTCCGGGAACACTAAACCGTAAGGGTTCTTTTTTCCCTCCCGCTTGGCTCGAAGCATGCTTACGGTTTAGGGCTTAGGGCTTTAAACCCCACACCCTGAAACCAACAAGAAATCTAAAGCCTCGCCTTCCCAGATTGCCCGTGGGGAGCCCCTGTCTGGGATACACAACTTGCCCAACACACCGCAAGCACTGCTCATTGAATTAGAATAGGGTTGTGGGAATATTAGATAGAAACTATATAGGGATGATAAACAAATACTATCAGACATTATTTCGGTTGCTTCAGTAGAATCCCATTCCTGACCGCGAGACCTTAGATAAGATTCTCCTTTGGAGGGATGCATCATAATCAACATGCAGCCCTGCATGCCCTTAACCCCATCCGCCTGAAACTGACTCAAAGACCCATACACTTACATCACCATGTCCTTCCTGAACAACTCCTACGTCACCTCATGCAATCCCAACACCCGCTTTTTTTTTCATCCAGACTCCGCATCCCAACACCCGCTGAATCCATGAACTCTTGACCCAACCCCCTCTCTTTGAGAGCCTTTCTTCGCTCGAGCCGCTCGCGCAGCTCTTGTGCTTTGGTAGCGTGCTTTCGGATGTACTTCCTTTGCATCGTCAAATGGTTCAGGTATGTACCCTTTGCCAAATTCCGGACTTAGGGCTGCTAATTGCTACACAAATAAACAGACCCGGATAAATTTCTCGCGGGTACGTAGTGGTGTTTCAGTGGGCTATCGATTATCGTGGGGCTAGAGGATTTTGAATTCAACGCACGCACGGTACTGTTGGCGCTTCAAGTTTCATTTTTTTTCGTGGAGGGATGACAACTAGAAAGCTCCACGGTCCTCATCTGAGCCTTTTTGGAGTCGGAGCGTTTTTTGCCCAGCCACGTGAGGATCTTAGTAATCAAGGAAAGCTTCCTTGTGAACTTACTTCCCTAAACCCTAAGACCAACCCAGCCAAAAGAGACCAGTGGCCAAAGGCCCTTGGCAGTTCTCTCGCCGTCGTACACGGTCGCGTTGCTCTGCCCTGCCTTCAACGAAGGAAAGACTTGGTTGCCCCCACGCGGTTTAGGGTTAAGGGAACTATAGCAACGCACCATAATATGGAGATATGAGGTTTTTGCCAACTTAGGCATACTTTCTTGGGTGTCCCAATCACGAGGAGTTATCGCATTTTAGGGTCTATTTGCGTGTCTTCTAATCAAAATTGTGGGGAACTAACATTCAAATGGTGTTACAAAATATGAGGCAGTAGAAAAAAGACCGCAGGAAATACTGAAAATAATTAGGGGGTAATAGGTGTTTCCAAATATTATACCACTGTGGGTGGGCTGAAGGGGGGCAAAGTGGCGGTTGAAGGACTGGAAAAGGTAAACTCTAAACTCCAAACCCCATAGTGTCATAGGAATCCACTCCTCCATGCCCTTTCGCTAAGCTAGCTTACTAGCTATAACTAACTATTTGGAAGCTCAACCCTACTGAGCTATACTCTAAGCTCCTAGCATCCCCTTAAAAACCCCATTGTATACGTAGTCCCCTATATATCCCCCTCTAAGGAGTTTAGACTTTAGACTATGGCTCATTGACCAGCGGCGAATATTTGAAGACGATGTCCCTGCCCAGCCTTCACGAAGAAGATCGTGGGGAATGAGCTCCAGTCCTCTGCTGCATGCTACGTTTGCTTTTCTCCTTCGGATATACGGGGTTTCCCAAAAATACCGGATACCTTTTTGGAGGTCCATATTGGGGGCCCTCTATTTATGGAAACTATCATATATCTGTAACCTCCCTTACCCACAAATTAGAGAGTTTCGCCTAGTAACTACCAAATTCAAGCTGTTTAGCTGTAGGCCTTACGGTTCACCTGTAAGGCAGGCAAAGCTAAACTGTGCGAATTTTACATTTCTTCCTCCGCAGTTGCCCTGACCGCAGGTGGACTACACGCGTTGGGAGCGCCGCAATTAGAGCACGTTACAAGCATATTGCTCAACCATGAGAGACCATACAGACAATCAGAAACCCTAGACCTTAAACTCTAAACCTGAAACCTTAAACCCTAAACCTTAAACCCTAAGCCCTAAACCTCTGACTTGGCCACTCAAAAAGATATCAGAACCTGGAGAAATCCGTGTTGTACTTTCCCGAAGTGCACAGGAGAATCTACCAATTCTCAGTGTCAAGCTCCTGGATAATCTGAATTTAATTACCTGTTCTGAGAGTGATTGGGTAGCTCTAGCACAGGCACCACAAAGGTTTGCACAGTCCTTGGCTCATGAGCGTTTAGGCCCAAGGCTTAGGTTCCAGGCCTCAAGCATATCAATCCGTGAACTGCTAGATAACCTAGGTCCCCAAATCGACGAACCTGAAACTCGCCCAAGCCTGGCACCCTATGCTAAGCAACTTAACTTAAGTTTCTATGGTAAGGAAACCCTAACACATTTGCTAAATCCTCATTGGGTGGTATCTTAATTTAAGTTCCTTAGCAGCAACCCAGTAACCCACAAAAACCTAAAACCTAAACTCGACACCACCAACATCCGAACTCCAGACTCTCAAGCCCGCTGCGCTGAGGCACCAGGGAGTCGACCGGACTGTCATTTGCAGTGCCGTCGATCTTCGCAATGGACAGCAAGTCCCCTGAGTTTTGGGCAGTTTGGGCTCTAGGGTTTAGGGATATTAGATTACCACCCACTAATGGGAACGAAAATGGAAACTGGAAATTGGGGCTAGGCTTAAGGGATGTTACCCGGATCTGACATATCAGATGCAAAAGGTAAATGCCAAATGGAACGAAAGCTGGGATTCTGCAAGGTTTCATAAGGTCTTTCATGTGCTCCAAAATGACTCCTAAACCCTAAACCCTAAGCCAAGCATAGCTTGCACTCTCAGGGCACACGACTCCATGAAAGCACTGGGAGAATGGCATCCCCTCCAATCCGCACTACTTGCTGGGTCTGGGGTCTGCAGCAAGCTTCCATCACCCTGAGAGCGCTGCTGCAATCCTTCTCCAAGCGCAGCCCACAAGGCAACATAATCATACGATGTATCCCTGAAAACATGCCTACAGGAATTAAACAGAACTGTAGCAGAGATGGTGTCTTATAGGTCCCTGAGCTTCAAAAGTATGAGGCATGCTGACACCCACTTACACCTTCCCAAAACTTGTCCTTGTTGTGCATGAAGCGTTGCTGGAGCATTCCATTAAACAAGGAACATGCTTAGGTGTCATCTACATAATTGCAGTGATACAGGCCTGAGGCGCCGAAAGCCCCAATTCCAGAGTCGAAGCAGCCAAAGTACCTATATGACTTTGCAGTCGATTTGAAGTACCATATACTACAATGATACAAGAACTCTAAAACATATTGGTTATTGTCTCGGCCCTTACACTACCATTAAGCCCTAAGCAGCAAACCTCAAACCTTTTCAACTGCAGATCTCCACACCTCCAGAATAAGGCTTAGGGTTTAGGGTTATCACCAGAACCCCAAAGTGACCTCGATGCCCTACGGCCTCAAACCCCAAGGAACTGAACTTCATAATGGTGCTTAAAGGCGACGCACACAAACACATGTATATGTATATATACATGCATACATACACTACATACACACACACACACATATACACACATATGTGTACATATATATATATATATCAGTGTATACCCTTACGTACCCCTTCACACCCCAAAAATCCTCACATAATCCCCGATAAAAAAGGCACCCAACTCTTCCTTTTGATGATAGTAACAATAAGAACAAAACAATATTGTTAAACCCTACATATCCCTACATAAACCCTATAATAATACTAGTAACAGCCCAGAGCACCCAACTCTTCCTTCTTGATCTTCTTCGCCAGCTTGCTATACTCGGGCTCGAGCTTCCTTTTGGGACTCTCGGGCAGGACTTTGGGCTCATGGCCCTTCTAGGATGTAGGGTTTAGGGCTTGGGGTTTAGGGTGTAGGGCCTAGCGCTTAGGGTTTAGGGCTTCTATGGCAGGAAAGTGATAGATATATTGGCAGTAAAGTGCTCAGGATGCTGAATACTGGAGCAACAGATGGAAAAAGACAATGGAACATGAAATGGAAAAGGAGATGATACCATACCGGGTTTAGGCGCTGGGTAGGCGCATTATGACAAACTAGTATCGTCCAGGAGGGATGTGCAGTGTTGTCCTGCCCAGTCCTTAGGTACATCGAATGGTTTAGGGTTTAGGGTACGGAGGGTATACAGCAGTTCTCACTTGTGTTCAGCAAGGCAAGCAAATGCTTTACAATCCACCCCTATATACCCTAATACAACCCCTATATAAACCCTATAATCCCTATAGTTTCCATTTTCTTTTCCATTTTCCTCCATATAACCATTATTCTTATTACTATTCCCATGTACACCATGGGGTCTAGGCTGAGGTTCTTTCTGGTTTACCCCTACAATCAAATCCTACCTGGAACCCTATGCCACCCTTTTTTTAGGGGGGCACCTAGCTTTGCGTGCCAAGCAAGGCATCGTAAAATGGGTAGGGTATAGAGGTCTAGGTACGTCCTAGTCCTGACTGCGAAAGCTTTTGCAAGCTTAAGACCCCCACCATACAGTTAGAGTCCCAAGCCCTGAGCCTAGCTTTGGAATCCTCAAACCTCAGCCCGAACATCCAAAACAACGGATGCTACCCACCAGGTCATGTCATACAAGATTCTGAATCTGTGATTATGGGGCAACTTGGGCCTGTGGTCTGCATAGCACACCATACTAGGTGAGGTCGGGCGACGTCGTCATAATCGGCCCATTAACTTACGCTTATAATTAGCCGCTGTCTTGGCCAGGTCAATGCTCCACCTTCCCTCCCCGAAAACAACATGCAACCTGTAAAGACTGCTGTCCCTTTAAGGCAAATACATGGCGTTCCGTGGTGTTCCGTGTTTGTTTGGGAAGGGTACACCGATCCCCAAATTCCAGGACCAGTGCAGCCTAGCCGCGCCGGTGAGGGGCAAGGGCCTTGCTACAACCTGAAACCCTAAACCCCTAAACCCCAAGCCCTTTTTGATCACGAACTGAGGCCATAGACCATAGATCAGAGCAAGGAGCTTGCAGTGTCCGCACCAGGGAGCATAGACTTCCAGGAGAACATCTTTGTCAGGGGTGAAGACCTCCTCCAGTGAGTAGTGCGATTGTGATGCTTAAGCTCTTACGCGCGACTGCAGACATTAAAGAAATCATGTCACTTTAGCCTGCATGCAGACTACATATAGTATTTGTGTTTACTTCTCGAGTGGCGCATTGAGGGTTATGAGCGAGAGAAAGCGCCAGGGGCCAAACGTCCAAATGACAGGTGGCCTGACAAAGATTACTGCCCTGTTGAAAGTTTTCGTGCTGGGACACCTGCAGCATGCTCTAAGCTCCAAGCAAATGGCGCTAAGATGGGAAGTCCGGAAAACAAAGGAGTGCCCTTTACGAACCCTAAGGATATTTAGGGATAACAAGAGGACTGTGGCGGGTCCTTATCAGGCGAAAAGAAGGGTACCTACATGTAAACGTTTGTGGCAACAATGCGAACTGTCACTGCCCAAGAACAATTTATGGATGATTGTGACATCGCTTACAATCGGTCAATCTTGGGCAAGCTGCACGAAATCTGAACCAAAGCCCCCATAGGGGCCTGGCTTACCTCCAAGCTGCTTTGCATCTAAACGCCCGCAGACTAGGTAGGCATGTGATGAAACACCAGTGTCGCCAGCAATGGTAGAAAGAAGAGACCATGGGACATTCCCTAATACAACCCCAATATAACCCCAATATAACCCTAATATAACCCCAATATAACCCTAAGGTTGCAACTTTTGTTTTTCCCTTCCTAGCCTGTAGCAAAGTGGTGCCCACCACCACCTTCACGGCATCATCGTTCACCTCAGCGGTATCAAGTTCGAACATGGCATGTCAAAGTTTAGGTCCCTGTATACGGTAGGGGTTTAGGGTTTGGGGGTTGGGGTTTACTGTATACTTCTTGGAAGAACAGAGTCCTTGACATGGGAGACCACAACTAGGACCCATTGTATGCGCACTGGCTCAAGCCAAAAGGAAACCCTTCTTCTCACAGGGCGCAGATCCACAGGTGTGCCTGGGGAGAAGGTTATTGTGCGCATTTAGTAGATAGACCATGGCTTTGGGTATGTTATAATAGAATCCCCATATACCCCATATTCTATCTAGCTAAGGGGGACTATAAACTAACCTCGCATACACTACTGGCGTCTGGACTTCATACCATGTTCCCGACTTCATACAATTTTCCACCCTATTCTTACACTACTCTACTGGCTGTGGGACTTCTTGCCTACAGTTGGTCCCCCTAGCTGTTGTGGATACATCGCTACCACCTACCAGAAGCAGCGTGTTTTTCTCCTTGACGTTAATTATTCCCTGACTGTCCCACAGTCATGGTCCCTGGGTAAGAATCCAGAACGTCTGCGTCTGCGGTATGATCCTAAACCCTAAGCTTCTTGACGCAGTTTGCACGCAACACCTCCCTAAAAGACCCAAAAGCTACATGGGCAATCGCCCCAGCTCTCATATACCCCAAGCCCTGAAACCTTAATCGAAACACTTTCACTCACCACACACCTAGCAAACCCGTGAATTCCCTTCTTACCCCAAATATATGCCCACGTACACATGCACATATGGCAGTTTCCCAAAACAGGGAAGCCCAAAATAGACCCCAATATACTCCCTTTAAAGGGTACCCCCCAATTTTGGGAAACCCCCCAGTTCCCTAAACCCTAACCTCCAAACCCTAAACCCACAACCCCAACCCTAAATCCCTAAACCCCAAATCCTAAACCCCAAACCCTAAACCCTAAATCCCTAAACCCAGAACCCATATGTATATCCCAACACGTACTCCGCAAAAGCCGACCACCAACGCCGAGGCGCTGCTGGTTTGGGTTCCGACTTCAAGGCCGGCTCAACCTTCCCAAGGCCCACATCCTGAGGGTTGGGCTCATATTAGGGTTACATGGGTTTAGGGTTTAGGGGGCTTAGGCCCACATCCTGAGGGTTGGGCTTCTATTGGGCTTATATTAGGTTCTATTGGGGTTATATTTTGGTAATGGAAAATGTCATGGAAACTAACATCCTGAGCCCTAAACTCTACATCCTGTCGGAGCTCTGGGGTTTGTACTCTTGGGGTTTGGGCGGCCCCTAAACCATGGGACTATGGCCCAGGGCCCACATCCTGCGGGTTTAGGGGGTGTAGGGCTTCATCCTGAGGGTTTGAGGGGTTTTAGGGTTTGGGGCTTAGGCCCACATCCTGGGGGCTTAAAGGGATTTAGAGCTCCATCCTGAGGGTTTGAAGGGTTTTGAGTTTAAGGTTTTAGGGTTTAAGGCTTGGGGCTTAGGCCCACATCCTGAGGGTTGGGTTTGGGGGTTGCGTAAGGGGTTTGAGTTTAGGGAACGCGATAGCCTCGCCAAATCCTTGTGGAAGTAAAGTGTAATCTGAAGGATAACATGCATAGAGGGAGGGGAAGCTGGATAATGTGGAATATCTCCTTCTTGAGCTATGAGAAGCTAGCCGTGGTGGTCCTTTTCAGCTCCCGTTTTGGATTTCTGGTCCCCCTTAAATAGATTGAATATGGCTTTGGGTATCTCTTAGTAAGATTCCCATATACCCCATATTCTATCTACTTGAGGAATCTTAAGGGGGACTAAAGCTTTAGTGTTTACGAATAAGGCCTACCTTGATCTACTGGGGAGGTTGGACGTATCGAGGGGCTCAGTAGACATCTTGCGCACTGTCGCAGCGGCAGTTTCCATGTTCTTTCCATTCATCTTCCTTTCCTACCCCCTAGATAACATCTATATGAGCCATAGTCTAAACTCCTAGTATCCCCCCTAATAACCCCTAAAATACTGCCCTCTATAGCCTCCCATACAAGCCCCCTACAAGGGCAGGGCACCTCTATGAATTGCGAGATCTGCTCCACCGTCATTGCGCCAGTGTGGACAAACTTCTTCTTATCACCAGCCTGGCACAGAATGGGGGCTATATGTGGGATTACGGGCCTTAGAAGGATTACACATGGGTATTTGAGGGTGCAAATTTGTGGCCTCCTATAAATAAATAAATAAATATATATATGTTTTTTGGTTATAGAGACTGCATGCTGACGGCCCCGAGTTCTCAACACTCGAAGTTTCCCCCCTAAACCCCAAAACCCTAAATCCCAAGTCCCCAAAACCCAAAACCCTAAATCCCTAAACTAAAGTCATCAAACCCTAAATGTTTCACAGGTTCAGCCTCCTGTCCTGAAGCCTGTCCTCAAATTTTTCCCTGCGTGGATGAGTGGCTAGGATCATTACAACTTATAAGCTGCTCATGACTGGGGTTTAGGGTTTAGGGGTCGGGTGTTTGTGACTGGAGCTATAATCCAATCCTATGTCCCACAAGTGCACCAAGCATGCATATGGTTGGGCTATCATCACGATTAGAAATATGTTATCAGTAACTCGCCCGTCCAGGCAGGCTGTGGTGCCACGAACCTCGCCTCTACATAACGCGGCTACTGTCTTTGAGGCTGCATTTCTCCTCAAATTGACTACGCCATACAACCTTAGGGAGCCGCCACGCTGCTTTTCGGGAGTAGGAGGTTTATCCCCCGACAGCATTTAAGGGTCAGCCCAACCCTCAACCCCTACACACACAGAGGCACTAGGCATGGGCGGATCACTTTTGGCTGCACAAAATATACTCTTGGGAAGGGGCACATGCCCCTTTCCCTGCACACTCAAGTTTCCCCCCCCGGCCCTTGGGCCGAATAGTACTGCGTCGGCGCACACGCGTGTGTGCAGCCGCACCCCACTCTGGGGAGGGCGGGCGGGTGCCAAAGATTTCCGGCTCTCTGCACGAACACCTGACCAACACAAGTGGCGGTACCTGAAATAAGCAAAGGCAAGCAAGTCACAGCTATAATAAGTCAAGCCTCTACTGTCTTGGGTTTAAGGGTTCGCTGTATGCGTCGGCCATTAGCCCCGCCTACCCCGACGCAAACGACCCTACCTACTTACCGGTTCTTGTAGGGATGAAGGGTAAATACTCCTTTTTATAATATATCCTCATCTTCTCTAGAAAGCCCCAGTAAGCCAAGTGAATTGGGAAAGGTATTCTCCCAACATCTGCCCTTCCCCCCGCCCCAAGCTCTTGGAGCGGAAACAGCCAGTGTCAGCACTTTACTGGGTTGCTGTTAGGGAACTTAAATTAAGTTACTATATTGGGGAAACCCTATATGTTTACTATATATACCCAATATGGTAACTTAATTTAAGTTCCTTAACAGCAACCCAGTTTAGACCTAGGACTTTTAGATCGGGGCCTGCTTCTGTACAGCAATGGCCGGGAACTTGCTGATGCCAAGCATGTTGTCGATAGCCTCCTTGAACTTTACCTCAGATGGGGACCTAAACCAAATGTATATGGGTGGTTGTCAAAATGTTGGCCCCTTTTTGGGTACCCTAAATATTAGGTGCCGTATTATAATGGAGATCCCAAAAGGAACCATAATTTTGACAACGACCCATATGTTTATAGAGTACAGGCCACTGCAGAGATCCATTCCTCTATGTACTTATCAGCGGGAAGCAAAAGAACCCTGTTAAAAAAGCTCCCTGACCGAAATGCCCGTGCTCAGTTGCTGAAAATAATTTGCAATAGTATCACCTGTAGACTTTTTGTTGGGTGTCGTAAAATATACCACGATTCCCTCTTCCAAGCTTTGGGCCCCTGCAGTACCCGTGCTCAAACCACGAGCCAAGTTGCAGTGTCTGTGTGAGTCACGAAGTACTTGCCTCTAAACCTTCCAAGCAAGTTCGGCTGGTAGTAATCCCTTCATACGATTCAGAAACCCCCACCCGTAAGACTAAATATGTCCCGGAATATACAAGGTCTCTTCTGGGGAGTAGTAGCTATAAGGGGTGAGAGATGCTGAACACCAGTAAGAAGTAAGCAAGCTTTCTCACTGGGGACCCTCAGAAACCACGCGGACTTCCACGGCTTTATGGAGTTCCTCAAACGGCTCACGGAACACCAGAAGAATGCTAAGCCGGATCCAGAACCCCTGCAACCTCATCCCCTTCCTGACGCGCAGACCTCAGGGAATGAGGGAATGAATCACAAGAGAACCTATGTTTGCTGGTTTGAATCAAGTAAGACGATATTATTCATACAAGAGACTATACCCAAAAGGAGGAGATGAGCTTACTCTACATTTGGGACTATAGTATCCTCAAATAAGACACTACTCATGGACGGTTGGACCCTCGGGCACCTCTTGGCAACATCTGCCATGATCTGGCGGTGCTCCTTCCCGTCAAGGGTGAAAGGTTGAGTACAGGTGGCATCTCTTACGTGCGAGTGAGTCGGCTTCGACTGCTAAACAAAATCCCGGATGTGTTTCGGGATGGGCACGTTGACCGGTATGCTGTATGTGCACAAGGGGCCTAGGGTTCAGAGGTCTAATTTCTCCCGAAAAACTCTTACTATCCTTCACCCTATTATATCATAGTAGCTTCCATCTTATTTTCCAGTATCCCAATATAGCCCCAATATAACCCCAATAAATACCCTATTGTACTTTAGTAAGTATTATTAGGGCTCAGGATGAAGGTCTACTTCACGAAGGAGAAACAAAGGACCAAGCAAAGCTCTAGTCTTGCGTTGGCCTTGAGGTCCGTGCTCAATCTTCTTCTGTGCCAGAATTCTGCTAAAGTCCGCCCGTGCTTCACACCTTAAAGCCGAGACCATCATTCTGTTCTGAAGTTTGGGAACAGCCGGGCTTAAGCTCTGCAATCAGCTTAATTCAGCCTCTCACTTCTAACCAAATATTGGATCTGGTTTATTGAAGAAGCCCTCTCAATCGTTTTTGGGGGTTGCGCGCCTTGTTCAAGATCAGGGGTAATCCTAGAAGGCACCCTATAATGTGTTTTGATTTTGGGGCCCTGGCAGAACCCAGAAACCCAAAGCCCTGAACCCTAAAAACCCTGAGCCCTTTGAATCAATGACTAGGGCTCTGAGGCCTGTACTGGGCTGTGGGGCCTTTATTGAGGGACTCATTTTTCTGCCTTCCTGGGGACGCTGTTTGGGGTTTAGGGTTTATTGTGGGTGAACCCTTTGGTCACACAAGGTCCAAGATTACCGGGAAATCAAATGCAGAATAAAATCGAAAATGAAATCAAGCGGAAACTGGTCGTTAAGATCTGTTTCTAGGGCCAAGGGGACTCTAAACCCTTAACCCAATCAAAGTCAGCCCTACACTTCCTGTAAACGTACGCAAAGACTCGATTCAAAAACTGCTGGTTTGCGTAAACTCCAGCTTTTGTTTTTTTTCCTGGACCTCCAGCTGGTTGGGTATAGGGTTTAGACGTAAGGGTTTAGGGTTTAGGTTCCAGCCCCACCCCACAGACATTACTAGGGGCTGTACCGGGGGCCATGGTTTCAGACTGTTTCAAACTCTAGTCATGAAGGATTTGATGGGGTAGCCTCAAGAAGATGAGGGCTGGAACTGAGATAGGGGGATCTCAAACCCTGAACCCCGCAAACCTCCACAATTTCTCCAAATTAGCACAGCCATCATACCCCAAGGGTCCCTAACGTCCCTAGAGTCCCTAATGTCCCTAGAACCTAGACCCGTAACCCAATAACCTGACGCTGCAATATGGGGGTTTCCCAAAACCAGGGGTACCGTTTTGGGGGTCCCTGGAATCAGGACTAATAGCATTTTGGGCTCTATATTGGGGTTTCCGCATTTTGGGGAACTACCATACTGCAATTTTCCAGAACGGGCCTCGAAGCCCTCACCGGCTTTGACAGGGAAAAGGCTCCAAACCAGGCCTTTCCCAGCTTCCAAGTACCTGTGTATCTTTTGGCTTCGGAGCCTGTGAGTTTAGGGTCTAAGGGCACGAACAGCTATCAACAATGGGGAATCAAGTGGAAGATGAAACTGAAACTTAGGATTCTGTGGGGTTATAGGGAATTGTGATGTAGAAGGCTGAACACTTACCTATAACATTCGACGTGCGTTTGAGGTTCCCCGCATCGTATACATATGTAAGGAATCCAGGGCCATAATTGCAGGCAATGGCGGAATGGGCTATATGCCCCTGATGCTCAAGGGATTCGCACCCTCTCCCTTACGACGAACTAGGCAATTGAAAGGACCTCTCGCATGAGCCATGAAGGTGTTTAATGCAAAAGCCTGAATAATTACCAATGCCTGAAATCTTCCCTTCTAATCCGCATGTAACGAAGAAATATCATATGCCCCTGAACCATGGCAATGCTGGCCAGCTCTGCAGTGGAAGCATCTTCCTTTCCCAAACACACGCGCACCCAAGCACGATCTTGGTTTGAGACAACTTACGAAGGACGCAAGTGCTGCCCTTCTAGCATCAAAAAACATAAAGACCGCTACTACAACCCTTCATGCAGGCAAAGCAATGGAGGTGGGTAGAAGCCATGCTCTTGGAGAAACATGGGGCTACCCGGGCTACCCCTCGGAGGTGTGCTAGTTTTGTCTTGGAGATGCTTAAGTTTTATCTGCAGTTTTGCAGCAATCAGCACTTGTGGGTTGTAGCATCTCGAAGTTGTGCAGGATCCGGAGATTAGTTTTTGCTTGGAGAGAAGTTTGGTTCTCAGAGCTTTGAGGCTCCGCTAACTGCAGCCGAGATCTGAGCAGGTTGGGATTGCTGCGTGCAGCGGACAGAGTCGGAGAGAACACCTGACCTAATCTGAATTAACCCGAATCATCCCTCCAATAACCCCATTTCAGGGGGTAACCCAGAGGGGGTAGCGTTGCTGGGAAAAATGAGTCCGTGGTAACGAATCAACTCCCCAAGTCCTCCAGGCTAAATGATTTACTGCGCAGGCGAGGTGGTATACACCACCAGATGTAGGACTTCTGTGTTCTCATGTGCTCCCAATAACAACCCCATGTTCTGGAACATCTCGCACAACCCTAAACCCTAAAACCTAAGCCCTGAAACCTAAACCCTAACCTTATATCACCCTCGCAAACACCAGGTCGAACTTTCCGGAGGCCACTGCGCTCCCTAAACCCGAGACCTTAAACCCCTAAAGCTGAATCCCTACATGCTTAGGGTTTAGGGGTTTTAGGGTTCAGGGTTTAGGGTTTAGGGTTTAAATCTTCCACCCTACGCCCTGAGCCTCATGCCCTATGCTTTTTAAGCGTAAATCCTAAGGGCTTGCAGAAAACCCTCTGCTGCGAGGGCACTTGTCGAAGGTGTCGGCGTTCAGCTCGCCAACCAAAGGCAGGGCGTTGTCCAGCAGGAACTGGGTCCTATACTTGCTGGTGGTCAAGGAATTAGGTAATGGAGCATGGGAAAAAGATTTGGGATTGTACAGGTACTACGGTACTACTACAAGGATCCATTCCCATTCACTGTGGAGTTCACCTGCAATCAACTTACTGCAGGTTAGCCGCTACTCTATCTGGTAGCTGCGGGATTAAGACTGCCACGCGGTAGGCACAGGGGTTACCCGAAGGGTCCAAGTACCCATTAATAAAATCACATACTTACCCCAATCCTGTACTACAATTGCTAGTACCCAGACCCCAACCACCTAATTATTGGGTACTTGGACCCTTAGGGTTATGGACCATGCTCACAGTGGAAGCGACACAGACTTGCATAACAACAGATGGCGGGTCGAGGAGCCTTGATTGGGACCAGGCTTCAATTAGAGTTCAAGCGCTGTTCGATGGTGTAGGGTTTAGGTAACGTAGGGGCCTGTTAAGGTCATGGAGACATTCACAGAAAGTTAATTGCATTTATGCAGGGTTTATAGCCATTGAAATGTCGCGGCCTCTTTAGTTTGAACAAGGCCTTGGGGTACATTATGCTGTAGCTATATATGAGGAGCACAAAGGAAGTTTTTAGGCTTGTACGCTACTCATGCGCCTGAGCGTGGGCCTCCAAGAAAAGTGAAAAAGCCGAGGGTAAGTTCCCAATACAGCTAGATCAAACTGGGCTGCTGCTAGGGAACTTGCACAGCATGTGCAAGTGTTCGGAGGCCATACTGTTTATGAACTTATGTGGCTTAACAACAACCCAGACAAAGGCATGATCCAGAACAACAAACTTTGTTTCGGCGAAATGAGACTCAGGGGTTGGGCTCAGACTCTAGCGTTTAAGCTTGAAGGAGCACTAGGTTTAGGGGCCTTAGCAAATTCAGGCTTCACAAAGAAAAAAATGTCGGAGGTTGAGCCCTAAACCCTGGTTTCAACCTGTTCCTTGGCTCATGAGAGCTTTTAAAAGCTTGTGGGTTGCTTTTTGCGAAGGATCCTTTCCACGATGACGCCTGCGTGTTGGGTATTCATCCTGTTCTAGACCTTACTGTACCGCATTTGGCAACTGCGAAGTATGAAGCATCATGACACCTGAAGCCCGAGCCCCAAACCCAAACCTTGGGTTTAAAAACTTAGGGCTGCAAGGCCCTAATCCTCACCCGGAACCCTAAACCCCAAACCCTCAACCCTAAACCCCTAGCCCGGAACCCCTGCACCCTAAATGCTGAACACTAAACATAGGAAGTCTTGGCTCAGCAAATCCTAGTTCAGGGTTTAAGTTTTTTTTTTTTGTTATAATTGTATTTTAAGTTGCACCTTTTTCCTTTGCAGGAATGCTGTACTTAGCAAGGCCAGTCCCAAGCTCACCTTTAGGGTTTAGGGCTCGGGGTTTAGGGTATATCTAGGCATCACAATTGGACTTCTCTCAGCTGTTGAGATCCCTGGCCCAAAGCGAGGTGAAACTTTCGATTTCAGAAGCTGGAGTGTGGGGGTTTCCCACAATTAGGGGTGCCCTTTGTGGGGTACCTGTATAAAGGATTCGCATATTTTTGTGATCTATGTTGGGGTCCCCCTATTCAAGGAACCTACCATGTTGCCCACGGAGTTCAAGGTTCCCTACCCAGCTGCTAGGCTGCAAGAAAGGCTTAGGGTTTAGAGGCGAGCCTGGCATTTCACAGGGCTGACTACGGAGGTTCTTGTCAAGTTGCAGCGTGGCATTCTCCACGGCGCCCGTGAATTCTACGGGGTCTTCCCCTGTTGCAGAAAACGGTTGTAGGCCCCCTTAAGTAGATAGAAGATGGGGTATATGGGGATCTTACTATATTATATCCAAAGCCATATTCTATCTACTTAAGGGGGGCTATACTTTAACAGTCAGGGGAACAAGCAGCTCCATGCGTAGGGCGGGGGGGGGGGTGGGTAGCTAATGTAAACGCCAAAATAATTACCAATGCTTTTGTGAAGGCTTTCTGAAGTATTCTATAACAGAATTATAGAAAGGAACCAGGACCATAATCGTGGTAATAGTTTAGGTCGGTACGTTCGCCGTTTGGTTCCAGCCTGCCTCACGGCTTGATCTTGAGCTTGATGCGTTCAAGCTAGGGCTTGTCAAATTCTCTCCCCCTCACAGGCGACTAGGACTTCGAACAGGACAAACTCTCCCGCCCACAGGTAAATGCCCCACCTCTACCACGCCTCTAATAAGAGTTTTCCCATCTGGTATCAATGTAGTATCAATAGAGTATCAACATGGTGGTTTCCCAAAACAGGGGGACCCCACCATAGACCCCGAAAGAAGATAATCCTTATTATAGGGACACCCAAAAAGGGTCCCCCCCCCCGCCTATTTTTGGGAAACCCCTAAGACCCCATAAAACCATTGTATAATCCCTTTAGAGGGCACCCCTAATTTTAGGAAACCACCCCCCATATGTTTTAGGGAACGTCATGAGGGGGTAATGTACGCTCACCATCCCTCGGGTCAGGAAAATGGGAGATGTGAAGCTCAGGTTCATTCAGTAAAGGGACTCTACTGGGAACCCCAAATAGGGAACCCCAAGAATATAGCAGAAATATAATGGAACATAAGGACCCTGGTAGGTATATTCCTATTATATACCTACTATATTCTTGGGGTTCCCGGTTTGGGGTTCCCAGTAGAGTCCCTTTATTCAGGGCAGGCCTTCTAGGACCGGAGCTCCTCAAGCCTAAGCCATGCCATCACCACGATCTCAAACATACCTTTTGCTGCTTCTGCAGGAAGATGGAAGACCCCAAAGATTCGCAGCTTCAGGGTGACATTTAGGGTTTAGGGTTTAGGGGGTTTAGGGGGTTTAGGGGGTTTAGGGGGTTTAGGGTCCATAAGCTCAAGGTCTTGTTGATCTATGTAACTGGTATCAAGGGTTTCTTGGGTTGTACCCCGACATTCGCACCCTCAAGGATTGCCTTTCTGGCCTACATAGCCTTATATGAGCCAGTGTAGTCTCCTAGGATCCCTCGAAGGATCCAAACCCAAGGTACGAGCCTGAAACCCTTGAAGGTATAGCCTGTTCCAAGGAGCCCAGAGAAGGAGTATGACAAAGGAGCTTTCGCTCGCACGGGGGTTACCGCCAATTCTGACATTCTCACTGTTACTACCGTCTTCCTGCGTAAACTCACAGATTCGAAATGAACAAATACTTAGCCAACCGCGAGCATGTAGTGCGGGCCTGCATGCTGCAGCACGATCTTCTGCGGGCCGCTGTTCTTCTGGAAATACCAAGTGGCCTTCCTGTCGGCAGTCATATTACAAAACAGGAGCGTATCTGTAAATAACAGATAAAAGTTATAAGATATCACCTGCAGTAATAACTTGAGGTTTCTCCGATTTGAGAGCACTGGAGGGTGGGGAGGGATGGGGCGCTCCTGGCTGTTCCTTCTCTATAACACTATAACTCCCCAAATTCCCAAACCCTAACCCTTAATTCTTAAATCCTGAACCCTAATCCATTATCCCTAAATCCTAAACCCTAACCCCTAAAAACTTATAAACCCCAATCCCTACCCAAACCCTAGCAGCCCCTATTTCCCAAGCAAGGCAGATCTGGGGACCCTGGGAGCTCCTCCGGTGGTCCTTTGCCACCTGCTCGAAGACCGGGCTCATGCTGCTGCCCTCAGCTCTTCGCTTGGAGATTTCTAAGCTTAGAAGTATGGGCCCCTAATATGGGTCCTTAGGTCTTTTGGGGGGATTCTAGGGACCCTTAAGGGTACATATAAGGTATATAGTAAGTATATAAGGATCCCAGGATTAAGGGCCCATACTAGGGGCCATTTGGACTTTTCCCAAAGTTAGGGGTACCATTTTTGCCGTCCCGATAATTCGGACTATACTATTTTGGGGCCTACACTGAGGTCCCCTTATTTTGTGTACCTACCATTTGAGTTCGCACAGGCAGTCTCAAGCCGCATCAGGATATGTCTTGGACGTACAGGGGTGCCCTTGGAGACCCCTGGAGTATGGGGTGGGATGATTTCGAGAACTTTCCTTTCGAAAACTCTCGAAAACTCTCAATACCACCCCAGAACACTAAAACCCTTGCAGGCGCCAAAGGTTTCAAAGGGCGCATGAGTCGAAGCTAGATCTCATTGCATTGCCCAGAATATTAGGATCCTGAATTCATACACCCGAAGCGCACCATCACGCATGTCTTGTGCCCCATAAAGGAACCCCCAAAGAATGGCCTGCAGCACAACGCGCGGTCGCTCGTTCCCAGGTGGCGCTGGGTCTGCGTTTTCCAATACCGGCGGCCCGGTCCTGCTCTTTGTTATATTGGGGTTATATAGGGATAATGGAAAAGAAAATGGAAACTACTATTTAGGGCTATATAACTATATAGGGTATATATTGGGGTTATATCTTACGGCTTAGGGGTTTGGGGCTTAGGATGATTCTAAGGGTTACAAAGGGTTGTACAACACAATCATATAGGGTAGCTAGGGATATGTATAGGGCTTAGGGCCAGGATAGGTTTGGGTTTAGCATTTGCGGCGCAAGATCGTATAGGGCTTGCTTGGCAATGAATTGGGAAGACTAACGAATGAAGGATTAAAACGCAGGAGCACAGACCATACCAATGAGATCCCTGAAAGGAAACCGCAGTCAAACCTGAGAATCTCAACATGGTTTTTTTTCTCAAGGGGACTCTTTTCAAGAACCTTCAGGAAATTACTGGTTTCTCCGTGCGAGAAAACGCGAATCATATTTGAGCTGCGGTCCGACATGTCCCCTTCTTCTTAACCAAAGATATTTGTTAAAAATGTACGGGGAGCCCGTGAAACTTCATCAGAAAACGCAACGCATTTTCCAATTCGGAAGTCAATTCGAGCCCTAATACCTATCATCCCCAGTCAAATGCTGTCTACATATCACAACAATGAGGATATCTCGAAAATCCCTGACTAAGTCTAATAGGAACCCTTTTCAATCCTTGGGTTGTAGTCCTTTACTGAGCGCTAAAAATCAACTGCGCACTTCTGGAACGTGCAGTGGCGGCCAAGGCAGGAAAATCAAAATTAATCTAAGCGTACACTTGTGATTACATAACCTACTCCATTGAGGACCTCTTACGACAAATCACAAAGTTTGTCGTTGATGCCTGCTGAGTGCCGGCAAGCGTCATGGATGAGCACCAGTCTATAATGGTTTGGGTGGTCCGCCCACCAGTGTACTCCATCTGCTTCCCTTCCTCGAACCACATGAGAGTTGGAAACCTTGCACCAGGCTTCTTCAGCTGAGCAACTATTCCATGCTGATCAGGGGAACCGGGTGAGAACATCTCAGTCTGCAATGGGGCATTGAAACTTATCTGGATGCAAACTCTCTTTGCGGCAAGCTGCCCTTTGACCTCGTACTTCTTTGCAAGATCCTTCTCCTGTCTTGCAAGGACAAGGCAGGCGCATCAGCCGCAACTGGCCCTAAACCCTGAGCCCTGAACCCTAGGCCCTAACCCTTAAACCCCAGCCAAACTTAAGCCCTAAACCCTGAACCTGATAGCTTCGTGCATGGTCATGTCATGCAACCTGGCTGCTCCGGTACCATTCCTTCCCCCAGACAAACCCAAGCCCTGCAGGCTTCAAAGCAGTGGGATCTTACGTGATAAGTGGTTTTCCCCAAATTAGGGGCATTCTGGGTCCCAATGACAAGGATCATACTATTTGGAGTCCTTTTGGGGGCCCCCCCTATTACAACAATGAGCCATACAGAGCTGCTAACACAGGGTTGGCGCGCGCCAGGTGCGCGGATTTATGGGCTTAGGGCTTAGGGGAAGTGGGTCCCATTCCCCGCCTTGTCTTGGTACTGCGAATGAGCGACCCCAAACTCTAAGCGCCAAACACAGTTGTAGAAACTTCTTGGCGATTGTGGACCTGGTGCCGCTGGTGCCCTTCCAAAACTATAAGCCCAAACGCTCACAGAAGCCACTCTAACATGGACAAGAACCTTTATAGGCCCCCTGGGCTTCCATGTGGCTGCCACAGTACTCCCAGGCCTACTTCCAGATCATAACTGAGTAGTTTTTTTGGTGGTTGAACCTAGTAAGATTATATTCCTTATATAAAATCCTGTACCCCAAAAGGAGGATTTAATCTTACTCCAGATTGTGTACCATAGTATCCCCCCCCAAAAAATTAGAGCTATAATATAATATAACCCCTACATAATCCCAGCTTCCATTTCATTTTCCATTTTCTTTTCCATTTGATTCTCCATTATTGGGGTAATATTACCCTAATGTATCACCAAATAAAATACTACTCAACTGAAGCTTGCGATCTCATCTCAGAATCGGGAAGACGTGCATCCTCCAGAGCTGAACTGACCTCCAGAAGCACTTACATCTTTCCCTGAACCCTAAAGCATCCTAAACCCTAAACCCTAAACCATCCTAAACCCTAAACCATCCTGAACCCTAAACCCTAAAACCCACACAGAAATCAACATGGAAATTCCGAAGCCCGGGTCGACCTACCCAAGGGCCTCCGTGGCATCCACTTTGGCCAGGGAGACTCCTCCCCAATTAGGGCTGACTGAGTGCACCCTGAAGCCATTCACCTACACTACACCTTGATAGGGCTTATGGTTTAGGGTTGAGCTGTGGTTTTCGTCCGGGCTTCTACACGGATGCCCAGAGCCAGTGGGACCTAGAGCGATGCCCTAACAAAACAGATCACAATGCCTTCCTCGGGTCCTTCCCTGTTACAATAACTGTCCTCCAAGCCTTGTTATGAAGGGACACTTATGATTCCATTGCCTAGTTTGGCAACTGCTAATGCAAGGGGATGACAACTGCCTTCACATGTTATTGCGCAAATGCCCTTGAGCTGACGCCGATTTCTTCTTGTAACCATCCGCCGACGCTGCTATACCTTTGAGAGGATCTGTGTGGGCTGGATTGCTGGGGCAATCTAACATATGGCTCCAGGGCACAAGCCCTGCCAAGATTCAAAATAAGAGCAACAAGAGTATCATACGGAATCCAGCAAGGACTTTCCTAACGACAAGAACAGTTGGCCTCATTAGCTGGCTGCCCTGTCCATTTTGCAGCTTTTCATCAACCCTTTAAGAGGCTTTGTGGGAGTCCTGGTACTATGCATTCTATCTACTTGGGGGTGTAATTGTAAGGGAGACCCTTTTTTGGAAACACCGGGTTGAGCGCTGACCTACACACTTTTTTCACCCTGCAGCATGTTCATCCGGGCACGATGGCCATAATCCGTGAGAATTCCACCCCATCTCATGCTGCATCCCCCACTTTGCTATCTCCCTAATCAAAATCCCTGATCAGCGCGGCGGCATCTCAACATACCCAACCTTGCATACCCAGGGCTGGAGTACAGTACTACACGAGCCTGGACTAAATTTGCAGCATATCCCTTAATTGGTCCCTCCAAATCCTATATAGTCCCCCTATAGATCCCACTCAACCTAAATCTAGTCCGTAGCTCACATGAGAAGAAGCCAACAGTCTTGAACACCCCGCCCCCATGGGAAGACAGTCGTCCTGAAAATTTCAGGGCTGAGGCTGCCTTCTCCTGGGCGAAGGATTTACTTCGAGGGTCCAGGGGCCGTAAAGAGGTAGGTTAATACTAGGGATAACTGGGGTTTCTATCTGGGTTATAAAGGTTATAAGTATACTTATCAAGTTGACCTTACCCCCAGTACTGCCATCCCTAGCCCCTCCCAGGTTTGCTCACTTCTCACATTCCCAATCCTTTGTGCAGCAGCAGAAGGCAGATTTTAACATAAGGAGTCGCTAGGGTATGTAATGTAGCCAGGAGCGGTTGCCCTGACACTGAATGTCAGTCCTTTGCTGGATTTACCTATTCAAGGCATATGAAACTTGAGGAAAGAGGCTTGTTTCCTCTTTGCTAGGGGGGTGCCTGTAATGAGAATGTGTACTGGTGATTGGGGCGTTGGATGCTGAAGAGCAGTCAACTGCACGTCAACTCCCAAGGAATGGTCAAAGGGCAAACGTGATGTTGGATACGGATCATAGATTCAATGAAGGTTTTGGGAGGTGTGTTTTAAAGTCAATGGTATAGGTTGCAGGCGAGATGGCGGTGGTTGTCACAAGTTGTGGCCATTTAAGGCCTGTTAGAAAAACATGTACGGCGTTTGGTAATCGCGCAGTTTCCCAGCAGCCTGGCTTACAACTGCGCATTAGCAGGGGCCCTGGCTTGATGTCCTAACAAGACACGGGCAGGCGACTAACAAACGGTACCTTGGCCCTTAGCTTCTTTTTCCTCGACCTTCTGATAGCATGATCATCGCCAAAACATTCACAGTGTGCGGAAGCAGTTTCCAATGGCAGCCCTTAATTGCCGCCGAACCCAAATTCATGCTGGAGTCTGCGACCTCTAAAGCACGATGGCAAATGTCTTTGCTTAGAAGTACTTAGAAGCACGATAAATATGTGAGTCAGAACTCGTGCGGGGGGCATAAATAGGGGCCCAATACCGACCCCAATATGCTATGATCTTCATTTAAAGGCTTCCCCCAAAACGGGGCCCTCAGGTTCTTGGGCCAAGGAGCATACTCTGGTGCCAATTTCTTGCCTTGGCTTGCTGCAAGCTGAATCCAACAAAAGGCTTCAGCCTCAAATAGTGTGAGCTCTGGGGCCTGTCTGCGCCCTACTACCCACTCTGGCCACGGGAATTTTGACCCCTGCACCATGACGGCCGCCCCCCAATGAAGCTTACTCAACTCAAATAAAGAACCAAGTGAGGAAGAACTTGGAAGGGTGGCTAGAAAACCAGGACTGCTTGCAGCACAGAGGCAGTGCCCACACCAGGGGGCGTAGAATTCTGCCAGGACATACTTGTTGTCCTGCCAATGAATGCCTTTAAGAACCTTACGTCTCTACAAGTCCTTCATATACACAGCTGCCTACACAACTACACTGCAGGACAACCTGAAACCTGCGAGTATCCGAGTAGCCTTCAACTAGGGACTCATAAACAGGATGCTACAGGGATCAGAAGACTCTCGCATCATGCGCAATATCTAACCCACGTCTATCATGAATTTCGACCCCCAAACCCCTAACCACTTCCGAAGGATGGCTGGCACAAGTTGGCTGCAGCCATTGAAGGGGTCCATAGTTTCCAGCAGCAGAGGTATCCAGAGCTTCTGCGTGACACGGCTTCTGGACGGGCTTATGTCCCGAGTCTTCATCCGTTTCATTCCCAGTCACATTACGTCAAATGTCGGGATATCATTCCTTGTAGGGATAGAGCGAGACTGGACCCTAAGGGGCCCAGGGACCCAAATACTATAATGTTAATGGTAGTTGCGCCCAAAAACCTTTAACTCGGGTCCTTGGACCCTTACGAGGGAGTGTTAGGTGTTATCTACAACGGAAACTATCAGCTATCAGAGACAAGAGGCCTTTGCCTGGACTCTAGACCCAGGAAACCCTACTCCCTTAAGGGGACCTTAGATTCCTTGCGGCACCCCCTAAACCCTAAACCCTGAACCCTAAATCCTATACCCTGGGTTGGGCCCCCACCCACTAATAGTGGCATACTAGGAATATATGAGGACCCTAATAGAATTACCATTACCTCTTGCGGTCACTATTAGTGGGTGGGGGCCCAACCTAACCTATACCCATCATTCCCTAAACCCTAAACCCCTAAACCCTAAACCCTAAACCCCCTAAACTCCTAAACCCCCTAAACCCTAAACCCTGAACCCTAAATCCTATACCCATCATTCCCCTGGCGTCCTTCAGATGCTGCTCAAAGCTCCTGAGTTCAGGCTGAAGTTTCGCGCCAATCAGGGTTTA